ACTCTTTCCTAAGATCTCCTCTGGGCTTCTGAAGTCCCCTCTGTGAGGGACTTTCTTCTCCCAGCTACAAAGCTGACACTTTGAAAGAACTGCACCTGCTGGCACCTCAGGTGGGGCTGGCGCACACCGCAGCCACCTCCTCCGGGGCACGCCTGGCTCTCAGCAGGCCAGGGCGCACCTGCTTGATCCCAGTGGAGAGGCGTCCGGAGGCCCGAGCTAGCCAGGGCAGCAGATCAGTGCATGGAGTCTTCTCCTGGGGGAAGGGGGCTCAGGTCACTTCATCTGCACTGGTGCCAGCTCCCAGGGTGCCAGTCCTGCCTCCCTCTCCCCTCTGATCCCTCCCAAGAGATGTCAGCACGAGGAAGGTCCTTCCTGGCGGAGATGATCCATGGCTGGACCCACTGCACCTGGAGGGAAGGAGTTCCCTGGGGCTCAGTATTCAAACAGGGGCTGGAAATTCTACCCTTCTGTTTCCAAGATTCTATCATTTGATTCTAAGATTTTTTTTTTTTTTTTTTTCGCGGTCGGCGGTCCTCCTGTGGGCTCTTAGTTCCCCTGTGGCCTCTCCCGCCGTGGAGCACAGGCTCCGGACGCGCAGGCTCAGCAGCCATGGCTCACGGGCCCAGCCGCTCCGCGGCATGTGGGATATTCCCAGACCGGGGCACGAACCTGCGTCCCCTGCATCGGCAGGCGGACTCTCAACCACTGCGCCACCAGGGAAGCTCGATTCTAAGATTTTAAGGAATTCTTATTCTTTTTGGTTTTGTTTTAACCGACTTTTGACCATTAATACATTGACATGGTTCAAAATTACAAAGGTACAAAGAAGTACAAAATGTAAATCCCCCTGTTATCTTGCCAGAAATATTTTAAGTACATACAAATGTGTGTGTATGTGTGCGTATATATACGTATACATATATATACGCACGCATTTCCTTTTTCTTTAAACACAAGTAGTAGCCTATTATACCCTCTATTTTGCACCTTAAGAAAAGAAATTTGGGGTAGTAGTTTTTTTTTTTGAAGTATAGTTGAGGTACAATATTATAGAAGTTACAGGTATACAATACAGTGATTCACCATTTTTTAAAATTTATTTATTTTATTTTTATATTTATTTTTGGCTGCATTGGGTCTTCGTTGCTGTGTGTGGGCTTTCTCTAGTTGCTGGGAGCGGGGGCTACTCTTCGTTGCGGTGCGCGGGCTTCTCATGCAGTGTCTTCTCTTGTTGCGGAGCACGGGATGTAGAGCGCAGGCTCAGTAGTTGTGGCGCATGCATGGGCTTAGTTGCCCCGCGGCATGTGGGATCCTCCCGGACCAGGGTTCGAACGCGTGTCCCCTGCATTGGCAGGCGGATTCTTCACCACTGCGCCACCAGGGAAGCCCCTGATTCACAATTTTTGAGGTTACGCTCCATTTATAGTTACTATAAAATATTGGCTACATTCCCTGTGTTGTACAATGTATCATCACAGCTTATTTTATACATAACAGTTTTATGCATAACAGTTAATCCCCTCCCCCCCCATCATGCCCCTCCCTGCTCTCTCTCCCCACAGAAAATTCTTGGAGCTCCCTCCCCTTCAGTACAATAGGAGCATTCCCATCGGTGTCCATCCCTTGCTCCTGTCCCACCATCTAATCCCTAGTTCCTGAGGTATCTAGCCAGTCCCCTGTTGATGGGCCTGATCAACATCCCATTTAACTTTCAGTTCACTGGCAGCCCAGTGTGGCAGTGACCTGTGTGGGGAATCGCTGGGTAAAGAGTGTGTACTTTTGTAATTCGGATAGTTCCAGCCAAACTGCCTCCTTGCCAGGTGCCACCAATTCATGCTCCCTCAGTAATGTATGATTGTGCCTATAAAATCACCCTTGCACATAAAGTGTTCAGGGATTTCCTGACTTTGCCAGTCCCAATGGGTGAAAATGGTAGCTTAGTGTAGTGTTTTCTTTTTTTTTTTTTATAAATTTATTTTATGTATTTTTAATTTTTGGCTGCGTTGGGTCTTTGTTGCTGCGCGTTGCTGGCTTTCTCGAGTTGCGGCGAGTGGGGGCCACTCTTCGTTGCGGTGCGCGGGCCCCTCACTGCTGTGCCCTCTCTTGTTGGGGAGCACGGGCTCTAGGCGCGCGGGCTTCAGTAGTTGTGGCTCGCGGACTCTAGAGCGCAGGCTCAGTAGTTGTGGCTTGCGGGCTCCAGAGCGCAGGCTCAGTAGTTGTGGCCCACGGGCTTAGTTGCTCCGTGGCATGTGGGATCTTCCCGGACCGGGGCACGAACCCGTGTCCCCTGCATTGGCAGGTGGATTCCCAACCACTGCACCACCAGGGAAGCCCTAGTGTTTTCTTTTAATTAATTTTTATTGGAGTATAGTTGATTTACAGTGTTGTGTTAGTTTCTGCCATACAGCAGAGTGAATCAGTCATACATATACATATGTCCACTCTTTTAGATTCTTTTCCCATATAGGTCATTACAGAGTATTGAGTAGAGTTCCCTGTACTGTACAGTATGTTCTTATTAGTTATCTATTTCATGTATGGTAGTGTGTATATGCCGATCCCAATCTCCCAATTTATCCCTCCCTACCTTCCCCGCTTGGTAACCATAAGTTTGTTTTCTACATCTGTGATGCTATTTTTGTTTTGTAAATAAATTCATTTGTACCTTTTTTTTAGATTCCACACATAAGCGGTATCATATGTCTGGCTTTCTCTTTCTGACTTACTTTCACTCAGAGTGACAATCTCCAGGTCCATCCATGTCGCTGCAAATGGCATTATTTCATTCTTTTTAATGGCGGAGTAATATTCCATTGTATATATGTACCACATCTTCTTTATCCATTCATCCGTCAGTGGGCCTTTAGGTTGCTTCCATATCTTGGCTATTGTAAATAGTGTTGCAATGAACATTGGGGTGCATGTATCTTTTCAAATTATAGTTTTCTCCGGATATATACCCAGGAGTGTGATTGCTGGATCATATGGTGACTGTAGTTTTAGTTTATTAAGAGGTGTCCATACTGTGTAGTTTTTTTTTTTTTTTTGGCTGCGTTGGGTCTCCGTTGCTGCACATAGGCTTTCTCTAGTTGTGGCGAGTGGGGCTACTCTTCGTTGCGGTGTGCGGGCTTCTCATTGCGGTGGCTTCTCTTGTTGCAGAACACAGGCTCTAGGCACACGGGCTTCAGTAGTTGCAGCACACGGTTTCAGTAGTTGTGGCTCACAGGCTCTAGAGTGCAGGCTCAGTAGTTGTGGTGCACGGGCTTAGTTGCTCTGCAGCGTGTAGGATCTTCCTGGACCAGGGATCGAACCCGTGTCCCCTCCACCGGCAGGCGGATTCCTAACCACTTCGCCACCAGGGAAGTCCCAAACATTCATTCATTCATTCATCTGGCTGCGCCGGTCTTAGTTGCAGCATGTGGGATCTAGTCCCCTGACCAGGGATCAAATCTGGGCCCCCTGCATTGGGAGCGCAGAGTCTTAACCACTGGACCACCAGGGAAGTCCCTCCATACTGTGTAGGTTTTTTTTGTTTTTTTTTTTTTGCAGTACGCGGGCCTCTCACCACTGTGGCCTCTCCTGTTGCGGGGCACAGGCTCCGGACGCACGGGTCCAGTGGCCATGGCCCACAGGCCCAGCCGCTCCGCGACACGTGGGATCCTCCCAGACCGGGGCACGAACCCGTGTCCCCTGCATCGGCAGGCAGACTCTCAACCACTGCGCCACCAGGGAAGCCCATACTGTGTAGTTTTAATTTGCATTTCCCTTATGATGAGTTAGGTTCAGCATCTTTCATCTGCTTAAGTCATTGACATTTCCTTTTCTATAAACTGTCTCCTCATATCATTTGCCCTTTTTGCTGTGAGGTTTGCTTTTCGCTTATTAATTTGCAGGAGCTCTTTATAGATTTGGAAAATGAGGCCTTTGGCTGATGAACTGCAGATGAACTAGTTGTCACTCATCTTTTGACTTTGCTTGTTGTATTTTTGCCACAGGAATTTTTTTATCCTTAAGGATTTTTTATGCTTAGGGATTCTGTCATCTCTTTTATGGCTCCTGGGTTTCGTGTCAGAAAAGTCTTTCCCACTCCAAGATTATAAAAAATTTCTCTGTGGTATCATTTGGTAATTATGTTTCTACTTTTTTTTTAACATTTAACTTTGTTGTCCTTTTGGAAGTTATTTTAGGGTACAATGTGATCTTACTCTGTGCTTTTTAGATGGCTTCTCAGTGTTTCCAGCTCTCTGTTGAGTAATCCATCCTTTCCACTCTAATTTGAGATGCCACTTTTATCATATACTAAATATTTTTATGTATTTAGATCTGTTTCTAAGCTTTTTATTTACTTTCATTTATCTCTCTGGTCCTATACCAGTACCATACTTAATGCTATATATATATATTTTTTTTTTTTTTTTTTTTTTTTTGGTCCG